GCGAAGGGGCTAGGGTTGGGGATAGGGGTGAAGAATCGAAGAGCTGCCTGGCCCAAGGATTCCTCCACTCAGTCGGAGCCAGGCTGGGTGGTAAACTGGGTGGCGGCCTGGTGAGAGAATGAGCGAACCAGGCTTGCCTTTTCTTCTGTACGATTGCCCAAAGATTTCGGATTCCCTTTCCTTGCCTAATGACCCAGAAAGCGGGCAGTTAGGGACCGGAGCAGAGTATCAAAATAATTGAAGTTATGCCTGTGATATGGGTTTCCTGAGAGGAGATGCGGAAGGAGAGAGAGGTGATGGTAAAGGTGTGTGTGTGTGTGTGTGTGTGTGTGTGTGTGTGTGTGTGTGTGTGTGTGTGTGTGTGTGGAGAGAGGGAGAGAGAGACTATTACCTAAAAATAAATGGTCTGATCCTGGCAAAACAGTGCACCTGGGGCCAAATACTTCGAAAATGCCCTCCCTTACTCTCTTCTGCTCTCTCTCCCAGCTGTCTCTGAGCTCTTTCCCTCCCCTGGATGGGCTGGGCCAAGACTCCTACCCGGGTATATCTGTCATGTCCCAGGAAAAGGGGCCCAGAGATGGGCCCTACTCTAGCCACAGAGCTGGCCTTAGACCAGGGCCTTTCAGAACCTGAGTCGGCCCTGCAGGGGACTGGAGCGCTGAGAGAGAGAGGCCCCTAGCGGGGCTAAAGGCGTCCAGGACCTGGCTTCAGCTTCTCGAGTCCTCCCACCCTTTCGGTGGCTGGAGGTGGATGATATCAGGAGGTGATGGTTGGTGCCGGCTCTCCTCTCCTTTTCTGGGCCCTTGTTCTCTTCTCGGATCCTTTCCCTATCTAAGAAGCTTCCCTTTCCAATAGCTTCCTGCCCCACCTTGTCCCAGCGCTGGGTTAGACCCCTTGAGCCGAAGCCTAGACTTCTGGCCTGGGTAAGACGATATGCACAAGGACACAGAGCCAACTTTGCCACTGCTCTTTGCCTCCGAAACTACAATCCCAGAGCCTGGATGTTTTTTTGGGGGGGTGTTGGGGAGGGAGGAGGACAGAAAAAAAAGTGTGGGTAAGGAGGGGGTACCTCCTAGGCTCTGACTCCCATACTCTTTGCCCCCTACACCTAGTTACTCCTTCCAATAGGCTGCGTGCCCCCAGGCTCACAGCGCCCCCTTGTCCCCCCCAGGCCCAGTGTACCGGTTCCAAACTACCGAACCCCCTCCCACACACATCTCCGCGGAATCCCGAAGCTATCGGATCCTGGGCCCCAGCCCGGCCTCTGCCCTCCCAAGTCCCTGGGGTCCTAAACTTACGGGTTCCAAGACGGATCTTCTAGGCGAGAAGGGCCGCCGGCAACGCCTGGGGACCGTGAAAAACAAGGGGCCAGCAGCTTGGGGGCTCTATGTAATTTCTTTTTCTCTTCTCTCCCGGCGCTCTGTGCCTTGCCGGCTGGCGTTTTAATTCTGGTCCTAGCCCTGTACCTAGCGCCCTGGTCCTGGCTCTCTAGCCTGTGTAGTCGGACTACGCCGGGAGCTCCGAGCTCTGTTGCTGAGGGACTGTGGTGGCGAGGGGAAGACTCCGTGCGGCTCAGCGCCCAGCTCCCCGCCTGACTCTGGGGCTCCGCACTAACCCACTTGCACTGACAGTTCGCAACCCACAGCTGCAGTCATTAAAAGCCATTTACACCCCAGCCTCCTCACACAAAGCTAGCGCGCCAACAATTATCTGCTTGTATATTTAAGGACAGGAATTCTGTCCCTAACAAGCTTAGAGCGCCAGGCGCCAAGGCCCTGGGCGGGGGCACGAACAAGACTGAGCCAACTTCCCGCTCGCTCCTCTCCGAGAGAGAGCCAGCAGGGTGGGCTCCTGGGAGCTCCGGCGTGCGTCTAGGTGCTGTTGCGCGGTGATTAGGCGGCTTTTTTTATCAAGCTTCTTGGAGATTTTCGATTTTATTGTACTTTACAAATGAATGAGTTTGAAAAATCTTCCGAGCGTGTAGGGGCGCGGGAGGCGATAGCTTGGAAGGGAGGGGGGAAGGGGAGACGCCCCCTTTCCGGCCTGAGGTTCCTGGGAGGGGGACAGAGTTGGAACTGATCAAACCAGGTTCAATCCACTGAGTCCAGCTCTTGGGTCCCATGCTGAGTGGGATGCAGTTTTGGGGTCACGAGCAGCTTTCAAAAAGTTGAATAAAATATTAGGAAACCCACCCGCAGGAATTCTCCCTCCCACCTCGAGCCCCCCCCAACATACTCCCCTCCCCTTTTCTTCCTCCCTCCCCACTTCCTTCTCCAGCCTCCCTTCTCCCCTCTCCCCACCCCCTAGCCTATAATCCTTCCCCTAAAAGAAAAAGGGATTACAAAGAAAAGATTTTTCTTTTTTGTGTCCCAACCTTTGGGTTCCTTCTGGGGACTCGCCGACCGGTGTCAGCAGTGCTGGGTCTCCCCAGCCGAGCGGAAACAGAAATCGGGGGGGGGGGTGTAGGGAGAGGAGCAGGGAAAGAAAGAAAATATGTCTACAAAGTAGGGTTTTCCCATCTATTTTTCCCTTTTGTCTTTGTTTTTAACCTTTCGAAGGCCAGAGGAGTGGTTGAGAGTTCCTCACTTCTCTAGCCTCTTTGGGGTGCGGTTAGGTATGGAGGTGCTTCCATCCTTCAAACTGTACACCCTGCAGGCTTTGGGGGGATTGAAAGGTGCGGCAGCAAGGGCCTTGGAGGTCTCCGGCTGTACACCGCAAGAAGCTCCTGGGGGAGGGCTGGCAATCCAGGGTCCCCAGTACCCCCAAGATCCAGGATTAGAGGGTTAGTAGCTCCGCAGGCCAAGTCACGTTATGTTTTCCCATTTTAATTGTAATCTCCCCCCCCCACCCCCATGATGTCTCCAAAGTACTGTGGACTCTACGCCTCACCCCCAGATCTGCATCGGAATGCAGAAAAGATCTTTAAAAAAAAAAGTTTTGAATTCCTCAATGATTTTTCTTCTGGAAAGGCGGCTTAGGATAATTATTTCAGCTTTATTGAGGGCAGATTAGTTGAAGTCTGGAAGCTGCGTTTCAATACGCGTTGTACATGGGGCCGACAATGTCGGTATTGTTTGCAACTGTGTGAACCTATTCAAAATATACACTTTTTAACACCAAACCAAGTCCTGTCTAAATATACACAGAGCAGGGGGAAGGCAGCCTCTGACCCGGACAAATCTCGGTAAATCACACTTCCACGGCCACAGAAACCCCACAAAGCAAGGCCTGGCTCAAGATGCTGATTAAATCTTCTTAAAAGCAACCTACCTAAGAATAAATATCCTTGCCCCAGAGCGAGAGCCCGAGCTAGCGCTGCAACCAGCCAGTCATCCCGGGAGATGGACTGAAAAAGGTTTAGTCCCCCGCCTCTCGATTGTCTGGGAAGTTTTTTAGCTTGGTTTGCAGTTAGTAGTGTAATTAAAAAAAAATTGATTGAGGTTCCCCCCCCCCACAAATGAAATGAAATGAAACATGTGCAGGCCTTTGGTTTTTCTTGTTTCTCAACCCCTGCTTTAGAGGGCTAAAGAGGGTTCTGAAAGATGCCCAGTGTCTGGGTAAGTTGAGGATCCTGGCTTCCCTGAACTCCGAGATACCTTTTGGAGAGCTCGCCGAGGTATGAAGGAAAACAAAGCGAAGTAAATGTTCTAAAATGTAGAGTGATGGAATATTGGTGTTATGCCTGATTATTTTAGTTACTGTTATTTTTAAATGGTGGATGATTGGTGATGGAGGCAATGGATATTTACACGGCGGGGGGGCAAGGGTAAATAAGACATATCCCTAGAGAATTTATGTCTGGGAGCTCAGTCCTGGCATCTTCGGAGAGTTAGAAGTAGGCAGAGGCTACAAGGAGATGTCCTACTTCTCTAGCCCGGCTGGGCGCTGGAACCCGCAGCCTGGGCCTCGGAGGAGGGGAGGAGCGGGGGAGATGCCCTCTCCGCTTCTCTGGGCTGAGGCGCCTGACGGGGTCACCAGCGCGATGAGTCTCATGATCTCATCTTTCCTTTCTTCGCCGGCACTATTAGTGCTCAGATAGGCAGAATGAAGAGGACCTACGTGCAAATCATGTGCAAATTGTCTCAGTTCGGAGTCCATCGTACGAACGGGTGCGAATTCTAGGCCAGGCCAAGTCCCTTATCCCCCAGATCTTTAGTTTTAACGAGGCTCGTTAAAAAAAAAATCACAATAATATTCCACCCTCTAATTGCTCATCCCATTCAACAAATACGAGCACACTGCTTTTCACATTATTTGAACCCTTATTTAGGAAAGGGGGAGGAAGACAGAGAGGGAAGAGGGGGTAAATGGAGAGAGAGGGGGGAAGTGGCGAGATTAAGAGTTGCAAAGATAAAAAAAATTCTTTCTCCCCGAGTACTCCCTCCCTTTCTCCCTCTCCCCTTCCCATCCCCCTCTTCCTTCTCCTCCTCCTCCCCCCCTGCGCATTTGGGCTAAGTGGTAAAAACCTTCCTTACGTACTCATTATTGATTGGCAGTGCTGACAGTGATTGGCAGGGGTTGCCGTGGCAACGCCACAACGACACTCAGAAGACCAATAGAAAAGCGAAACAAAATGTTTCAATGCTGCACTCACTGTGGATTTAGGGGAGATATTATGAGGCTGTTGTCATTAGGGCGATTGCTGTTGAATCGCTGAATCTTGACTCGGTGGTGGTTGGCTCTCTCTCTCCTCTCTCTCTCTCTCTCTCTCTCTCTCTCTCTCTCTCTCTCTCTCTCTCTCTCTGTGCACGCGCACGCGCGTGTGTGTGTGAGCGCGCGCGCGCGCCCAGCCACTCTCCTTCCCCTCTCTCTATGTGGCTGTGCGGGTGTGTGTGTGTGTGTATGTGTGTGGGGTGTGGGTGTCCTTTACTCCTGTCTTCCTCCTCCTCCTCTTCCTCCTCCTCCTCCCCTCTCCTCTCCCTCCTCTCTCTCTTTTTCTCCTCCTCCCTCTCCTCCTCCTCCCTCTCCTCCTCCTCCTCTTCCTCTCCTCTCTCTTCCTTTCCCTGAATTTTCTCCTCTCCTCTCAGGTCATTCCATGGTATTCCGCTCCCCTCTAGAGCTCTATCCCTCCCACTTCTTCTTGCCAAACTTCGCGGATCCTCACCACCGCTCCCTACTTCTGGCTAGTAGCAGCGGCGGCGGCGGCGGGAGCAGTGCGGGAGGCGGCGGCGGCGGCGGCGGCGGCGCGGGAGGAGGCGGCGGCGGTGGCGGAGGAGGCGGCGGCAGCGGCGGCGGCTCCAGGGCCCCCCCGGAAGAGTTGTCCATGTTCCAGCTGCCCACCCTCAACTTCTCTCCGGAGCAGGTGGCCAGCGTCTGCGAGACGCTGGAGGAGACTGGGGACATCGAGCGGCTGGGACGCTTCCTCTGGTCCTTGCCCGTGGCCCCGGGGGCGTGCGAGGCCATCAACAAGCACGAGTCCATCCTGCGCGCCCGAGCCGTGGTCGCCTTCCACACGGGCAACTTTCGCGACCTCTACCACATCCTGGAGAACCACAAGTTCACCAAAGAGTCGCACGGGAAACTGCAAGCCATGTGGCTTGAGGCGCACTACCAGGAGGCGGAGAAGCTGCGGGGCCGCCCTCTCGGCCCAGTGGACAAGTACCGAGTGAGGAAGAAGTTCCCGTTGCCCCGGACCATCTGGGACGGCGAGCAGAAGACTCATTGCTTCAAGGAGAGGACTCGGAGCCTGCTCAGGGAGTGGTACCTTCAGGACCCCTATCCCAACCCCAGCAAGAAACGCGAACTGGCTCAGGCCACGGGCCTCACCCCCACACAAGTAGGCAACTGGTTTAAGAACCGGCGGCAGCGCGACCGGGCGGCTGCGGCCAAGAACAGGTCAGTGCCAGGCCCCCGCCAGCCCCCAGCCCCGGGCCGTTTCCAACTTTCCAGTCTCCCTGGCTGGAGGCATCGGGCCTGCGGAAGGGGACTAACCCTGGGAGGGCTGGGAGTGGAGACAGGGAGGAAAGGAGGCAAGCCCGGGGCCAATCTGGGAAAGTTTGCACCGCCCGCAGGGCGCGGGGAAGGGGAGCTAGTCTTATTAACTTATTTGTCCTGGGATGGAGGTGGGGGGTCTGGGAGCAGGTAGCCAGCCCTCCAGCTCTTGTTGTGTGCCTTCTTGGTAAGTGTGAGGTGCCGTGGGGAGCCGACCACCCAGGCCTTGCTCCGGAGTCCCCGGCTCTCTCTCCCGCCCCCCGAGGCCAAGAGTTGTCTAAAGCGGGGCCGGGTTGGGGCTCCGAGCGGCCGCAGAGTACCAGAAGCAGAGCTCCGTGCCTACTCCTCTTTCTCTCACTCTCCTGTCTCTAGTTCATGGCTCTCTGCTCACTGGAAAAACGATGGAGAGCACAGAGAATTCTTTATCCTCAGGTCTCGGCTGTCCAAGAAAAAATTCTATCCATTTGAACCTTGTAATAGTAATCCTAAGTAAATATGCTTATGTATATGTGTTATGTGTAGTATGGATGCATAAATATAACGTATGTGTATATACACACATACATATTTTGTGTATAAATATCTTTGGAGGCTGGAAGGGAAAGAATTCTAATTAATACAAAGAGAGGACAGAATATTCATGCAGAAGCTTCTGCTATTTCAAATTCCTGACCTACTTACTGTGTTGACAGGCGTTAAGAGAGAGCCGGGTAGAAAGAGACTCCTGACAAAAACGGCCTCTCCGATTGTCTATGTGTGTTTGAGTTTAGTATATCATAGATATGAGTGTTGGAGAGGGTAACGTGTACATGTCTCTACTTTCATCTTGAACTGGGCTGGTGCATGGGGGTTCGGTGAATCTTTCCAATTTGGAAAGTTGAGGTCACTATGAGCTGGGGGGTGGGTCAGTCCCCAATCCCACAGGCCAGTTAGATATAAAGTTGTTTGAGAGCTGGACTGTTTTAGCTGAGGTTGCAGGCCTGCAAGAAACCGAGGAAGAGAAGGGGAAAAAACAGAGAAAGGAGGAAGGAAAGAAAGAGAGATAAAGGAAAGAAAGGAAGCAAATTTAAATTCCAAGGCAGAGCCTTTTCTCTAGTTTTTCTAGGACTCCAACCAGTCCTCAGATCCAACCCTGCTGTGATAGTTCTAGTGGTGCTGACAGTGGGGTTGATAAAACTATGTGGGTTTATGCTTGAGTCCTGGATTCTAGTAGCTGGTTTTTAAAGTTTCAAATCCACCAGGTTTTCTCTTGTGGAGCCTGCTTTTCGCCGGATGAGGGGAAGACTCCAAGCGGTGTTCAGGCCTTCTTCTCTCCTAACCTCTTTACCTCAGCAGGGCTGAGACCTAGCTCTCGGAAGAGGAAAGGATGTTTATATGAAGGTCATCAGCACTCCTCTGCCTTACTTCTTTCCTTTATTACTTTTTCTCTCTTCCCCTTCTACTTTCTTTTTCCTTCTTCCCATCTCTCCCTGTCTTCTTTGTTTAGTTTGTTATAAAATTTTTAAAAAATGCTTCCAGTATCCTGCATAGAGCCCACTAATGCCCAATTTCAAAACGTCCTTGGAAGGGGTCTTGGAAACAAGGCCCTAAGAGGAGTATCTTGTCTCTTCTCTGTCAGCCTACCCAACTGGATCTAGCTGCAGCACTGAGAACAGACTAAGCGGATGGGGGGAATGCCAGCTGAGAAATTGGGGTCTCTTGCTAGATACCTCTCTTTTTCCCTACTATTCATTGTATCCAGTGGGTCAAAGTAAATGCTTCCTATTCCTACCCCTTCCCCTGAAGCCAGCTTGATAGTAGGCCTTCCTGGGCGGAAGGACCTTCCTTTCTGTCTAGGCCTGGCCCCAATTCTCTCTCCTTTCCTCTTATCTCCTTTCCCTTCTCCTGTCCTGGTTTTCCCAAGTTCTTGGTGACAACAGGAAAACCTCTAGTGAAGTCCAGGTGCCCACAGGACATAGTCTGAGGGGCAGGGAGGAGAGTATGGATAGGAGGAAAGACCCGAGAAAGAGCGCACTAAGGAGCACTGAAGACTGGACAGATGGAATACAGGGGAAGGGGAGAGAAGTGAAATAGAGAAGGGAGAGACAAGGAGAAACAAGAAAAATGAGGGAAGAAAAGAGGCAAAGGGAAGTATGAAAGAATCAAAGAGAAAGAGAAAAGTGGCAAAGTGAAGAGAAAGAAGAGAGGAAGAAAACAGAAGGCCCCCAAAACAGAAAGAGTAGCGTTACTCTCGGCTTTTGGGGAAGCTGGTGACCCTGGGGTTCAAATGAGTTTAGCCAACTACAAGGCCCAAACTCTTCTCTAATTCTGAGTTGGGGGTTTAAAACAAGCCCAGGCCAGAGTGGAGGGTGAAGTGGTTTAGGAGGCTGTGGGGCAGTGAAGAGTAGAGCTGTTTCATAGAAAATGAGTGGGAACGAGAAAATGGGCTCGGGTTGAGTTGCAGTGGTATTTGCCTGCATATATGGGTATCAAAGGACCTGCGTCTATGCTTGTGGGTTTGTGAATATCAGTGTGACTGCATCCCAAGTAGCAGGCGGGAGGTTGCAGGCGATCCCGGGCTCCGGGTATGTTTATCTGGGGAATTCGGGAGTCCCAGCCGGCATCTTTAGCATGCTATGATTTGGGCTGGGGGACACCGAAACTATGAGACTGTTGGTCTGGCCTAGAGGTGGGAGAGCAAAGGAGACGACGGTCTGTCTGCCGGTCAGGCTGGCTATGTCAGGGGAGCTTCGCTCCGTGTTGTCTTTTTTGCCCCGCAGGCTGCAGCATCAGTCGATCGGACAGAGCGGCATGCGCTCGCTGGCTGAGCCTGGCTGTCCGACGCACGGCTCGGCAGAGTCGCCATCCACGGCGGCCAGTCCCACAACCAGTGTGTCCAGCCTGACAGAACGAGCGGACACCGGCACCTCCATCCTCTCGGTAACCTCCAGCGACTCGGAATGTGATGTATGATAGCGGAAAGACGGTCCTCCTCCACCTCTCCCTCCTCCTCTTCCTCCTTTTCCTTCCCCTCCCCCAACTCCTATCTCTCCCACCCTAGAGCAAACCCAAATCAGGACACACATACACACACATACACACAACCACACACGCACACACAAAGCCAAAATTTAAAAAAGCAAGAAACATTAGAAACTAATCAAAAACTGTCAACAAAACCCAACCACCTTCAGCCACCACCGCCACACAACGGACCCGGACGCCAACAGACATTCACAAATGCTGATGTTGCGGGGGGAACAATTAAAAGAGGTGACAATTGTATACTTTCTAGGACAAGCACGACTTCTCCTTTCGCTTCCCATGGACGAGGCACCCCACCTGCATGACGGTTTATTTGTATCTGGGAAAATATTCTCTATAGCTTAAAACGATTTAAAAAGAATCGAACACACAATCACCACCGAGGCAACAACGGGCGACAAAGACCAAAAATGACAAAAACAGCAACAACTACAACAAAAAAACGAACCCACCAACGCCATCTCCGTTCTGAATTTGTACAAAAAAGAAAAAGAAAGAGAACTCCTTGTGAAGAGGGAAATAGCAAATGTTTCTCGCCTTCTTTTTTTTGGTCTCTCAGTTTCTCTCTCTCTCTCTCTCTCTCTCTCTCTCTCTCTCTCTCTCTCTCTCTCTCTCTCTCTCTCTCTCTCTCTCTCTCCTCTCTCCCTCTCTGTTTTTAAGTCCAAGTAATGGTCAGCCAAGATGCAATCTTCTGTTTTTTTGTTCAGCAGACAATCATTTTATTCGTAAGCACCTTTTTTTCTACACTCCTGTCACTGCCTGTGTGGGTACTGGTTATAAATGTGGAAAAAGGATAGTTATGACTGTAAAAGATTTTTATTTTTATTTCAAAATTTTATATGAATTATGTATATCTTAATGATGCGGTCATTTTTCCCAGTTTGTAATATATGTGTAGAAATTGCCTGTATATGCTATTGCTTTTTTTCTCTTCTCCCTTTTTGCCATTCTGTGTCCTCTCTCTCCGTCTCTCTCTCTCTCCGTCTCTCTCTCTCTCTCTCTCTCTTCTCTCTTCTCTCTCTCTCTCTCTCTCTCTTCTCTCCCCCCTCATCTCCCTAACCCTTCAACACCTGCCCCTTATCTTTCTTTTTTTCCTTCCCCCCCCCAAAATTTTCCAAGATTTGGCGTTCCTTGCGTAGACTTAGCTGTTCCAGTCTGAGCGGCTAGGTTAGAGAAAGGGACCCCAGTATCAGCGAAACCGGAGAGTGAGACTGTAGTATTCTTATGCAAAAGCTATTTTGAGTATTTCTTAGCTGCTTTGGGAGTTTTCTCTCAACTCCCCGTAGGGCGCTTATACTGTTTCCTTAACTGCGTGTTTATCTATATGTAAAAACTTTCTAAATCAAATACAGTATTCTTCATTTTCTTATCTACTCATGAAGATTGGTGTTTTTGTCCATCACCAGGTCGATTGTCCTCTTCCCTCCCCCCTCCCATATTTCTCCCTTTTCCTTGAGGGACAAAGGTTTTAAAATCGGATCTCAACTTTCTTAAGGAGGACCCAACCTAGGGCCCTCCTGAAAGGGAGAAGAAAGATGGGAGAACCGTAACAACTCCTAAGCCCCAACCCAAACTTTGGAGATGGTGCAAACTCTATGTGTAAGTGTGTGTGTGTGTGTGTGTGTGTGTGTGTGTGTGAGAGAGAGAGAGAGAGAGAGAGAGAGAGAGAAAGAAACAGAAGGATGGGGAGAGGGGGAGTGAGTAATAAACCCCTGGTAAAAGAAGCTTCGAGTTTTCCTGGTCCCCGACCTTGCCGAGTGGGATAACTGGGCTGAATTGGGACTAACAAGCATCCTAACCCAGAGCAATCCATTTATGACTACCACTGGCTGCTGGTGTGTGTGTGTGTGTGTGTGTGTGTGTGTGTGTGTGTGTGTGTGTGTGTGTGTTCGTGTTCCAGGAGGTGATTATTGGGGAAGGAGACCTTTCCTGTTTCATTCTAATATTTTTTTAACTGTCTGATTGTGGTTGTTCTTCAGGGGAAAAATGCACAAAGATACTGACAAAGCCGGGAAAGCGATTCCAGAGAGCAGATCTGCGCTAAGTGGGTGGGTGGCTGTGGGGTTAGGGTCAGGCACTGGGGGAAGGGAACAGGAAGCTGGAAGGTAGCTTGTGGAACTCGGAATTGGAAAAATGAGATAACACTCCACCCAGCACCGTCCTGGGTCTGGTCAGCCTGCTTATCCCACCTGCCCAAACGGGAGTGTGTATTTCTTTCTAAAATTAGGAACCCAAAGGCTTACCCAGTCCCATCTATTTGGTTTAGTGTTCTTTAGAGAACATTTAAGACGTTTTGGTATTTGGAGGTCAAAACCAAAACAGAACAAAATAACCTTCCCTCCACCCTTCATCAGAATCAGGGTCTACCCCTTAGCTCCCTTGCACGGGGCCTGCTATGTTCCCTAGCACCTTGATTATGTCTCCTCTGCCTTTCAGAATAGCTCCTTATACGCAAAACTAAGTTGGGCTTTGTATGAGGCAGAGCCAGCAGCGGTGAAGCCACTCTGGAGACAGTCAAAACTTGTTCTTACTTGAAAATACAATTCTCAGAGCGAGGAGGATTAGGGAGAGTCGTGCCTGGAATTTCTTATCGGTTCCCAAACTAATTTCGACTTCCGATTCCCTCAGGTTTCCATACTCATTTGGGCTGTGAGATGAGCGGCCCTGCTTACCCCATAGCAAAAGGTGTGGTAGGGCAGGGCAACATAGGGGCGAAGGCCTAGGAAGTTTAAGACTATCATCTGGGGAGAAGGTCCTGGGAAAACAGAGGTCAGAGCATGACATCCCTTCTTACAATGCTGTGTCCTAGGTAGTACAGTATATCCCCTATGTTTGGAAGTTAAATGTGGCATATTAAGTCTGTATGTATTGTGTCTTCCTCCTTAGACAAATACAATTTCAGGTGTGTATTTTAACAGAGTTCCTTCATCTCCATAGACAAGAATTTGTAGAATCTGCCCATGCCCATATTCTATATCATCTAGCATTTGCTAAAACATAATGGTATACGTTCTCCAGATATACATCTTGGTATGCATCTAATACTAGCATGAGCCTTTATTACTTGGCATTTCAAATCTTGACTTTAGAAGTGATGTAATATACTACAATCCATATTTCTATGTGGCATTGTATCTCACACTCAGACCTTAAACAAAACCCTAGTGTTTATTGAAAACATGGCCTGGGAAAGCAGAAGAGAGGATGGTCTGGGTAGTCTTCTCTCTGGCTAGCCTGCTAGGAAGGGACTGTGGAAGTTGGCCATAGCCCTAGAAGAGTGGACTCTATTGGGGCCAGAATAGGCTAAGCCTGTTTGGTGGCGGTGGACAACCAAATGGAGAAGTCAAAATGCCTCTTTTATCCTCACCACTAAAAGGACTGTTTTTTTCCCCCTGAAAATCTGGGTCCCAGTCCAAATCCTAAGACCTTCTCTCAACATAGAAATGAGACACATAGGATTATCTTACACTCCAAAATAGAGATTCTTAGTCTTTTTCTGTCATGGACCACTTGACAGTCTGGAGAAGCAGAGGGGACCACTTCTCAGAACATTTTTAAAATGCATAGCATTACAAAGGAAACCAATTATATTGAAATGCAATTATCAAAATTAAGAAACAGAACAAACAAGTTCACATGTGCCAGGTTAAGAAATTCTACCAATAATTTCTTGGCCTATGTCTTTCTTGTGTGTGTGTGTGTGTGTGTGTGTGTGTGTGTGTGTGTGTGTGTGTGCACGCGCACGCCTGTCTGTCCATCTCATCTGTCAATCAACCAATCTCTCCTCTGTCTAGGTATCACTCACTGCCCTACTTTTTTTTCTTCCTCATGCTTTATCTTACTTTATAGGTAGAGGGAATCTGTGAGTTATGAGATATATGCATAGTATAAGTCTTGCCTAAGTATATCCTTCCATGAACACTGTCCTGTGGGAAGTGTATAGATAGGAATGTGTGCCCCTGGAGAATATACTTAACTGTGTAATATAAGGAAGTGCATGATGTATTTATGTGTCCATGTGATAACTCTGTGTGCAGTATAAATTTGCCTGCCATATTAATATGTGAATGGCATATTTGTGTTTTGTGGCATAATTGTACGTAATTTGAGTGTGCTGCCTAGCTAGCCCAAATGTGTTTACAAGCTACGTGTCTGTGTGCAAGGTCTGTTTGTATGTAATCTAATGCATGTACAGCATGGCTTGTGTACGTCATATTTATGTATGTCTAGTGTAAATTTGTGCAAAGCATGTATGCCTATAGTTTGGCTGCGCATGGCGGTGGGGGAGGGCTACTCACTTCTAGACACAAAGACAAATGAGGACATCATTAATTTCTATTTCATCCCAACTCCTGCTCCCACCCTCAGGACCTGGAATGATAGTGGGTAACCATCCTCCTCTCCTTCTCCCCCTCAGTGTTTTGTTCTTTCTTAGGTTACAAGTTAGGGGCCAGTGGAGGTGTTTGGATGGACCATAGAAAAGGAGAGATGAAAAGGACAGTATGCGTACACACATCATACATATGCACAAGTACACCAGGCCAGAAAGAAATCCATCAGCCCTATCCACCCCCCCCCCATTTCTTATTTCCCAGTATATTTGACCTCTCTCCCACACACTTAAAACCCGGAACAGGAGGTTGAGAACAAAAGTGAGGGTTTTTTCTTTTGCCTAAAGTTCCAACCCCTTGGCTCCCTCAACAGACCTGGAAAAGAAACAGCAGCCACTTATCTCTGGTTCTTTCCTCAAAGAAGCAGCCAAGTCCACAGAGCCAGGAAACTAGTTAAGCAGCCAACCCTGGGAAGCTAAGGAGGGAGGGATTTGGTCAGGATATCTTCCATGTCTTTCTTCCTTCTCCCCAGGCAAAAGCAACAACCTGGGAAATCTTTGGTGTTTTGTTTCTAAAAACCACTTATGACCAGGATTTTCTTTGGGCCAGGTGTTCATCTGAGTTAGCTACGTGTGCACATGTGTCCAAGTTTTAAATACTGGTCATAATTACTGGATCTCAGTGTATTTGTCTATGGTATGCTTCTCTCTACTACAGCTAAGTTGAGAAGGGCTGGGGGGTTGGGCAGACAGATTAACACTTTTAAATTCACTCATCAATATTTGCAGGTGTTCAAATGTGCCAAGCACCTGGCTGATTATCCTGGCACAGATATTAAGAAAGTGACAGACATGTGCCTGGATGGTTCTGTGTCCATATTTCTCTGTTTGTGGAGGTCAGTGTGTGAATGTGGGTAAAGTTCCTTAAGAATGTGATCTCTTGGCTGTGATGGTCTGCATGTGTGTGTCCCTGTGCCTGGGCATTATAGGGTGTCAGC